CCAGGGCAGCGCTTTATCTCACTTAATCTGCTTGCATGTCTTGGGCCAAGTTCATGACAGTTGAACACCCTGGTGCAGCAGAGGGGAGTTTGAGCTTTCTAAATATTCTAAAAGGGTTTTTTGCTTAACCAGTTTACAAAAAACGTTATGTTTTGCCTTCTGCAGCACCATGTGCATCCTTGCCCAGCCTGTGGGATTATATACAGAGCTGATGAGCACCACCCGCCCATACTGCCCGTCAGAGCTCAGCTCCCGATGCAGCTCAGCGGCAGCTGGGTAACCCACTGCGAGGTCCGACCTGCCGTGCTTTTCCTCACCAGGTACTTCATATTCCACGGTAACAACCACACCTGGGAAGGTTATTACTACCACTACTCCGACCCACTCTGCAAACAGCCGACTTTCACCATCTACGCATCCGGGCATTACACCCAAGGCATCCCCTCCTCCAAAGTGAGAGGTGGCACAGAGCTGGCTTTTAAAGTCACCCAGGCTCGGGTGACGCCAATGGACCAGGTGACGGTGATGATGCTGAACTCCTCAGAACCTGGAAGCTGTGGGCTGACGAGCTCCTGGAGTGCTGGGGTGGAGCAGGATATAACACCCACAAATGGATGTTTGGCTTTGGGCATCAAGCTGCCCCACACGGAGTACGAACTTTTCAAAACGGAGCAAGACACGGAAGACCGCAGCCTGCTGTACATTGGCGAAAGGCCCACGGACGGATCTAGTCCCGACAGCCCAGACAAGCGGCCCACGTCGTATCAGGCACCTCTGATTCAGTGTGCCGGAGCGTCAGAGGAATTGTCTAACTATGTTAGTCTAAAATACTTGGGAAAAAAGGAAGCTAATGGGAGCGAGGCACTAAAACCTTTGCCTGGGGCCTTTGTCTTGTTTATAGCACTTCTGTTTCTAAGATGGGACTAGTTATCTCTTCAGCTACAGCACAGAATCCAGGCTTGGTGCTAGCGTGATTCTTATATCCTTCAAAGGAGCACATCTGGAATCAGTTTTGCTCAGCTTTGGGAACACTTTTTAAGAACACCCAACAACGGAGAACGAAGCCAAGAAGATACGCCTGACTACATGCTGTTTGTCCTGGGGCTTTATTGCCTGATCTCCCCTCCTTGCGTACAAATTTAATGTAGTGACATGGATGTGCTGCACATTGCAATAGGTAATTTAGCAATACGAGGGGGGAAAGAGCGACATCCATTACAACTGCTGCTTTGAGCTTTTGACATTGCTAAGGTTTCATCAAGAGCTTGATACAGATGTAATTCAAACATCCAGAGTGTCAGCTGCTGAGTTTCTTTAAGTTCCCTCCCGTCACACTCCTTTGCTGTTCTTGCAAATTTAACCTGCAGTCAGTCAGCAGTAGATAGCCAGCAGGGTTCTCGGTAAGGGCACGGTTACTCGCGCCTCTCTCAGTTTACAGACATTTTCTGCCGTTTTTGTGCGTGGTTACGCACGCAGACGCAACGCACAACCTTCCCCTTACCCACGCACAAACAGCCGCCCTCACAGAGCGTTACCTCGACAGACCGTCACGCCTGACCCCGCTCACAGAAGGAGATACAGTAACTGGGCCACGCTTCCATGCACGACCACTGCAGCCTCCAGCACTACCGAGCTGCAGAACGGCATCCTCCCTGCCGCCTTCTGGCTCTTCCCGGGCAGCCCTGCCCTGCCCTGCCGGACGTCACCAGCTGCCCCACGCTGCTGCCCGCCTCGTCCGGCACTGCCGGGCAGCCGCGACGCCCGCTCACCACGCACCCAGCGAAGCAAAAGATCTCTTACAAGCCTTCTCAGGCCGTGTGTTTCCAGCCTCCTTTTCACCAAGCGTACTGGCACACCAGTTGTTAATCCAGCTCTCCTCTCAATCACACGTTGCTTTCAGCCCCATTCCTGTAAGGATGTTTTATAAATCTGCCTCTAGTGAACAATGGGCTGCGGAGATACTCGCATCAGACAGCACAGTCAGGTCGAACTGATTTCTGCTGACAAGAAGGACAAACTAAGAAATTATGTTCCCTGTCTGCGGCAGCTAAGAAGCCTATACTTCACTTGGAGAAGCCCTCCTCCCAGTAGCTAAATCCTCTCCAAATAAGCCTATGTATCTTACTCACAGAGGATGTTTTGTTAAACGAGCTATACAATAGCTACCTTCTTCATGCTGTATTTACAAACTTGCAGTTGTAGTTCGATAAATTATGGGGTTTATAACATAAAAATACTTTTGAGGGATCTGTATATTAACTAATAATTCAAATGAGGTGCTTATTAAATGCATACAATTGTGACATAAATGTTGTCAGCATGTTCCGGGCATGATCAAATACGGATCGTGTACATAAACAGTTACACTTTTAAGATGATGCACAAAAAGGCCAAGCTTGGCTTCCTCGCCTTCGGTTCCCTCTGCAATCAGTGGAGAAGGAGACTTCTCCAGGGGTTAGTGCAGCAGGGAAAATACCTCCCCATTTCTAAGGGCTGTTGTGTTTTGTTGCCTGCTGCTGCGCGGAGATCCATGGGCAAACGTTTGAAGAACTGGAAGCGCATCTTGGAGAACATGGTGTCTCCTTTGGGATGTCCCCGTTGGGATGCTACGAATCAGGGCAAGTCTGGAGTAGCACAGCTGCGTCTCACGTAAACCGTACACGTGGCACCCCTTTTCTCCAGCAGACCAGCTTCCCCTCACCATGGGTTCCCCTGACTCAAGTCAGCAAAGCTACGTCTTTCTGCAGGACCCAAAGATGTCCACAGCGAGAACAGGGAACAGCCTTGTGCTATCCTTGGAGGGTGGGTGGAAGATGGGAAAGGCAATTCCTGCCCTACATTTACCCCCAAGAATGAGGTTTATGTGCAGATGCGCTTTTTTTCTCATTTACAGAGTATGGAAGTGTATTAAACTTAGCAAGTGTTCAGATACCGCATGGTGTAAAAACTCCCCCAAGACCACAGATCCTTTCAGGCTGGCGATGGCATTAACGTGATGTAAGAAGCTACGAGACAACATCACATACTTATGCAACGAGCACTTGAGAAAGCTCCCACCTCCTCCCGTAGCAGGCCAGCCACCAGTCGCCGGATGGGCTCTGCTGGCCGAACTTCCCTATGAAAGCCTCATCAGGAGCCTCTTTGTCCTCTGTTTCCCCCCCTTTAAGTATACTTCTGAAAGGAAAAAAAGCCATGAAAAAGCTATTTGCATAAATATCATAACTTTTATTGTTCTGTTCACAGTTTTTGCAGAAACATTCCTAAATTACAGTTATTCTCTCTTAAGAATTTGTGCCTTTTTCCAATTTGAATTTGCCTGGCTTCGACTGCCAGTCAGCGATTCTTGTTGTGTTGCTATTTTTAAGATCAGAGAGCTGCAGCGTTCAGAATTTTCTCCCCATGAAGGTACTTGTGCACTGTAATCAAGACATTCCCAATTTTGGTAGATAAACTCAGCCAACTGAGTTTTCTCTCTCACCCTCTCTAAGGCAAGTAATTTTTGTGCATCCACTCCAATTACTCAGCTTCTCTTTTAAAATGTAAATACCCGAATGGCATCCAAAATTCCCAACTCGCACAGCCGAGATGTACAGAAGCGTAATCACTGACTGCTAACAGCAATTAAAAACAAGATCACATTCTTATTCATTAGTCTTTTACCCTGGGACTGCACTGGGAACCCCTGTGGAGCTCTTGCTCGCTCTGGTCCTGGGTATTTCTGTCACCTTAACATTTTCTCAGTAGTGACTTTGTATGTCTGCACCAGTGATCCAGAACCACTGAGCCGTACCGGGTCCCAGCAGAACCTTTCTCGGAGCACCCCCATTTCATTACGGCTCTCTCTGAACAACCACTTCTGAAACGTGCCGTTGTCAGCACACACCAAGCTTTGCCGGGGCTCAGATACACCCGGTTCACTCCAATCCCGAAGAAAACTCCAAAAGACGGAATGAACTGACTTACGTTACTAACATTCATCTTTTTCGTCCCTTCCCGAGGGTGCCAAGCCCTGCACCCGCCGCCTGGCCCTGTCTGCCCTCCTCCTCCCCAGCAGGTCAGATTGCTCCAGCTGCCTCCCTCAGCAATACCAATACAAGGCTTCTAGACCTACTGAATTAAAAATGTTAAATATCAAGCATGACTCATGAATCACATCACTTGGCCAGTTCTCTTCCATCATCACTAGCACTTTCACCACCTGCATCTAGTAACGGTCCGTATCCTGCTGCAGATTGCCTCTGAGCTTCTGCTCTTTATCAGCCTCTCCAAGCACTCCAGCCCACACGTTCTTCTTTTCCTTTAGCCATTGCTTTCCTTATTTTCCACACTTCATAACTCTCATTTTGGGTTGAATGCTGGCTGCTTCCTTTTTTCTTATGTGTTTTATATTACTTTACATCTAATTTTTCCCTTCATTTCATCACTGAAACAGGATGGGCGGTTAGCCAAAGTTGTCCCCCTTCTCGATTGCAAAATTATTGGGGTTTTGGCCATTTAATAACTTTCACTTAGAAAACTGCCAATTCTAATTCAGTTTTCCATCCAATTTCTTCTTCACTACCAGATTTTACACGAAATTTGCTCAGCTATGCCCTTTTGAAGCACCAATTACATTTATTAGCGGTTTGCATGGCTGTATGCCTGGCTCAAATGTAATCAGGATTCTAACTTCTAGTTCTGCGATTCATTTATCTTTATCTGACCTAAACACGACAAAACCAAATAACTTCATGTTTCATGTCTACCACTGCATTAGAAAAATGGGTCTAGGACACAGATGATGAACATTAGTCCTAACCTTAGCTGGATTCCTTTCAACTGTAAAATAAATACGTACCTTTTTATTGTACCTATGAAGGAAAAACAAGCACGGGCAGCTTTGCACCAGCCGGAAGTCATGGTAACAGGCACATGTCTCTCAAAACTCTTCCCCATTCACTTCTTATATAATACTTCCCAAAAGTTTAATCATTTTTAACCACTCCAAAATGCAAAGAAACAAATAGTTTCCAAACACTCTGAATACATTTACTAGTTTCCTGCACTGAGTCTGGGCATGAAAGTCTTTCCTACCTTCTTTAATATCATAAGCTACTCAGAAGTCGCCTTTGCAATTTTCTGCTTCTCTAGCAGGCACAAAAATTTCAAGCACGAGCTGAGCTTGCTGGACACAGTCATGGGTCTGATCTGCTCTTCACAGCTCAACTAACAGTAACTTGTTTTTCCAATCAGCCATCTTCACGCTCCCCTGTTTAAAACACCTCAGAAGGTATTTTCTATTCTAGATTTCCCAAACAACTCTTAAACTGAAACAAAACATACAAAAATAGTTTTAAAACGCTTGGATATTTTAACAGCACTGAGCTAGTGCTTCATTTGATAGGCAATCCGCACTGACGGTCAAGGCCTGACATTTACTACAAATACGCTGCATTGGAACAGCAGAAAACAGCTGGAGACAGAAAGGAGAGGGTTGACAAGACCCACTGCCCAAACTGCACCAACAGTGAGGAAGGAACCAATCTGATGGAAGAGGGAGCAGAAGGTGAGTGGCTGCCTGGGACGGGAAAAGGCACCCGGGACCAGGGTCAGACAGGCTGCCTCGGGCAGCCCGGGCGCAGCCGCAGAGCGCTCCCGGGGGCCCAAAGTCTGGGTCAGGCCGTCAGGGAATGGCAAGACTGGAAGGGTGATGGGAAAGAAGAGACTGAGATGGAAAATAAACAGGCAGCAGAGAAGAAAGGCCACTGAAAGACGCTCGGCTGAACGCCGGTTTCTTTGCCAAGGAGCAGTGAGGGAACAAGGATGACTTGGATTGAGCCAAGGGCTGAGAGAGGGAATGGAGTGAGATCTGGCAGCTCAGGCAGAACAGATCAGGCAAGAAACTGGGCAGGAGAGTCTGCAGCCTTCACAGAAACGCTCTTTCGGGC